AAAAAAAAAAAAAAAAAAGTTATTGAAGTAGGGTGCGGTGGCTCACACCTATAATCCTACCACTCTGGGAGGCCAAGGCGGGTGGATTGCTTGAGCTCAGGAGTTCAAGACCAGCCTGAGCAAAAGCGAGACCCAGTCTCTACTAAAAATAGAAAAACTGAGGCAAAAGGATTGCTTGAGCCCAAGAGTTTGAGGTTGCTGTAAGCAATGATGCCTTGGCATGCTACCCAGGGTGAGAGCTTGATACTCTGTCTGGAAAATAAAATAAAATAGGGCGGCACCTGTGGCTCAAAGGTATAGGACACCAGCCCCATAAACCGGAGGTGGCAGGTACAAACCAGGTCCTGGCCAAAAACTGCAAACAATAAAAAAGAAATAAAAAGTTGGGCAGTGCCTGTGGCTCAGCGGGTAGGGCACCAGCCCCATATACCAAGGGTGGAAGGTTCAAACCCAGCCCCGGCCAAACTGCAACAAAAAATAGCCGGGCGTTGTGGTGGGCACCTGTGGTCCCACCTACTCGGGAGGCTGAGGAAGGAGAATTTACTAAGCCCAGGAGTTGGAGGTTGCTGTGAGCTGTGTGACGCTGCCACGGCACTCTACCAAGGACAATAAAGTGAGATTCTGTCTCTACAAAAAAAAAATAATAATAATAATTTTTTAAAAAGTTATTGAAGTAGAAAGTAGAGATTACCTTTTCTGTTAAGCTGTCTCTTTCCAAATCTTTGAGCCTAAGGGAAGAAATGGGAGAAAGAAAGTCTTATTAACTTTATAAAAATTAATCACAATTTTAAAGAATACTAGAAATAAGTTCAAAATATGAATGTTAGAAAAAAAAACATGGTTGCTTTTATCTCACTCTCACAATGTCTAGAACGTCCTCCTGTAATGTGTAATATTAGGAAATCATCTGATCTGAACAAGGTTCTTCTTTTTGGAGTTGTTTTTTCTGATGTTGGCAAGAAACGAAATAGGAGCTCTAAAACTATTTTTTTGTTTGAGACTGGGTCTTACTCTGCTGCTGGGGCTAGAATGCAGTGGTATTGTCACAGCTTACTGCAGTGTAGAATTCCTGGGCACAAACTATCCTCTTGCCTCAGCTACCTGAGTACCTAAGACTATAAGAACAGGCCACCACATCCAACTAAGTTTTGTTTTTTTTTAAAACATAGTCTATCACCCTGAGTAGAGTGATGTAATATCATACCTCACAGCAACCTCAAACTCTTGGGTTCAAGAGTCTCCTGAGTTGGCTCAGCACCTGTAGCACAGCGGTTACCACGACAGCCACATACACCGAGGGTGACGGGTTCGAACCCAGCCCGGGCCAGCTAAATGACAACTGCAACAAAAAATAGCCTGGCATTGTGGCGGGCACCCTGCACAACCAGCTACTTGGGAAGCTGAGGCAAGAGAATGGCTTAAGCCCAAGAGTTTGAGGTTGCTGTGAGCTAGAATGCCTCTACAAAGGGTGACATAGTGAAACTCTCAAAAAGTCTCCTGAGTAGCTAGGACTGCAGGCCAGGTAAGTTTTTTATTTTCATTTTTGTAGAGATGGGGGTCACTCTATTGCCCAGGCTGGTCTTGAACCCCTGACCTCAAGTGATCTTCCCACCTCAGCCTCCTAGAGTGCTAGGATTACAGGTGTGAGCCACCCTACCGAGCCAGCTTTCTAATGATGATAAAACAGACCCAAAGCATCAGGGGCACAGAGGGTACCCACACACAGGGGAAATAGATGAACTTAGAAAAGGTACCTAGCTGGAGAGGTTCATCCTCGAATGTCTGTATCTAATCAGAAGCACAGAACTATAGTGAGTTTGACTAGAAAATCATGGCCTGATTTGATTATCAAAGAGTGGCTTGCCTCTTTGGGAAGAAGAGGGAAAAGAATAAAAACAAGAGAAGACACCAGGAAAGGGAGGGGAATGAAGAGGCTGTTGTTCCTAGACTGCAGTGGACTAAGAACAGGTCTAACCAGCTAGACCAAGTACCTGACAGTGGAGGGAGGCCACCTTGGGCAGGCACTAGGCCTCTAGCCATCTCATGACCTGCCTCAGACAGACTAGGTGCTCATTTCTTACTGAGCCAAAAGGGTGGAAAAAGCTCTTCCAGGATGGTGTCTGCAGAGAGCAAGTGTAAGCAGCAGTCAGAAATACAAGTGACATTGGTTCAGCAAAGAGCAGGCAGGGATCTCCTGACTTACTAGATTGGTCAGGAATGGCCTTTTTTTGAGACAGCCTCATTTTGTCACTGGGTAGAGAGGCATGGTATCATAGCTCACAGCAACCTCAAACTCTTTTTTTTTTGTGAGACAGAGCCTCAAGCTGTCCCCCTGGGTAGAGTGCCGTGGCATCACAGCTCACAGCAACCTCCAACTCCTGGGCTCAAGCGAGTCTCCTGCCTCAGCCTCCCAAGTAGCTGGGACTAAAGGCGCCCGCCACAACGCCTGGCCATTTTTTGATTGCAGCCATCATTGTTGTTTGGCGGGTCCGGGCTGGGGATTCGAACCCACCACCTTAGGTGTACGTGGCTGGCGCCTTAGCCGGTTGAGCTATAGGCGCCGAGCCGCAACCTCAAACTCTTGGGCTCAAACAACCCTCCTGCCTCAAGACTCCCAAGTAGCTGAGACTACAGGTGCCTACTACTACACCCAGTTAGTTTTTCTATTTTTAGTAGAGATAGGGTCTTGCTCTTGCTCAGGCTGGTCTCAAATTCCTGAACTTAAATGATTCACCCACTATGGCCTCCCAGAGTGCTAGGATTACAGGCATGAGCCACTGTGCCCAGCAGGAATAGACCTTCTATAGAAGAGACACTTGGCACCTGGCAGACACAGTGGTAACACATACTGTAGATTCTATGTACCATACAACTTGGTCTCAAGAAGCTTTGGAATCAAAATTTTTAGAAGCACAGGAAGTCCCTCCCAAGCACGAGTCATACCACCCTCACAGTAATTCAGGTCTGAGAAGAGCCTTCCATGAGGACAGCCAAACTCAGGACCTACAGCCAGAGGCATGTGCCCTCCTACAGATTACAAATGGATGCCAAGAGCCTAGCAAAGGACTCAAAATACAATCTTAGCTCTCAGCCTGAGATCCTAGGATTCATCCCTAGTTGTTTCACTCAGATGAGAAGGGAGAAAACACAGACAACTATGAAGGAATAAGGCAAATAGAGTTAAAGCTTCCCAAGAGAAAGGATATAAACAGCATCACGAAAGAAGGATCATAGGAGAGGAGCACTCAGTGTGAACTGGGCAGAGGAAAGGGCACAAATAGGAACAGCCGAGGAACATACCAACACTGGCCACCACGTAGGCTAAGAAAGACGCATCCAGGGAGGTCAAGAATACCAGGCTAAAAAACTGCTTTGCTCTGTAGTCAAACTATTGAAAGAGTCATGGGGAGGGGGAACATATGGTATCTAAGACATGCTTTAAGAAAGGTGATCTGGGCTCAGTGCCTGTAGCTCAGTGGCTAGGGCGCTGGCCACATACACCAGGGCTGGAGAGATTGAACACGGCCAGGGCCTGCCAAATAGCTACAACACAAAAATGTCATGCATGGCTTGGCGCCTGCAACTCAAGCCACATATACCAGAGCTGGCAGGTTCAAATCCAACCCGGGCCTGCCAAACAATGACAACTACAACCAAAAAATAGCCAGGCGTTGTGGTGGGCGCCTGTAGTCCCAGCTACTTGGGAGGCTGAAGCAAGAGAATCGCTTAAGCTCAAGAGTTGGAGGTTGCTGTGAGCTGTGATGCCACAGCAATCTACCCAGGGTGACTGCTTTTGAGGCTATCTCAAAAAAAAAAAAAAAAAAAAAAGGTGGCACTTGTGGCTCAGTGGGTAAGGCATAGGCCCAGCCCCATATACCGAGGGTGGTGAGTTCAACCCAGCCCCGGCCAAACTGCAACAAAAAGATAGCCAGGCATTGTAGCAGGCACCTGTAGTCTAGCTACTCGGGAGGCTGAGGCAAGAGAATCGCCTAAGTCCAAGGAGTTAGAAGTTGCTGCGAGCTGTGACGCCAAAGCACTCTACCAAGGGTTAATAAGTAAAATTCTGTCTCAAAAACAAACAAGAAAACCAGCCATGCATTGTGGTGGGTGCCTATAGTCCCAGCTACTTGGGAGGCTGAAGCAAGAGAATCACTTGAGCCCAAGAATTTGAGGTTGTTGTGAGCATAACACCACAACACTCTACCGAGGGTGACAGTGAGACTCTGTCTCAAAAAAAAAAAAAAAATAGTTGATCTGGCAGAAATATGTGATTGGGCAGGAGATTACAGAAATGTTAACTTACTCTTAACACTCCAACACCAGAAAGGCTGGTCTAAAATAAGGTTTAGCAGCAGGAAGACCATGAAAGGCTCTGTTAACCCAGCCTTTGTTTTCTTTTTGAAGATAGTCTCATTCTGTCACTCTGGGTAGAGTGCCATGTCATCATCATAGCTCACTGCCTCAGAGACTGGGTCTCATTTCACTCAGTTTGGTCTCAAACTTCTGAGCTCAGGTGATCCACTTGCCTTGGCCTCCCAGAGTGCTAGGATTATAGGCATGAGCCACCATACCGGGCCAACCCAGTTTCTTAAGACTATAGGGCTGGGCTCGGCACCTATAGCTCAACCAGCTAAGGCGCCAGCCACCTACACCTAAGGTGGCCGGTTCGAATCCCCAGCCCGGACCTGCCAAAACAACAATGACGGCTGCAACCAAAAAAAATAGCCGGGTGTTGTGG